CCTTATGGAAACAATACCCATTAAGTTTCCACAAGGCACTTAACTCCTTTATCATCCACTGTAGGGCCAAGAAACACCTGAGACTGAGGCTTCCGTGCCTATGCCTCTCAAAATCCAGGGCCTTCTGTCGCCTATAACATATTACAGTACAGCCTGTGGGTGTCCCTCAAAACCAGCAGCATGGGCCTGGCCTTACTCACTTCCATGCGGCTGGATAAGGGGTGGTTCACTCTTATAGGCGTAACTCTCCATATTTGGTTTACTGTTTAACTTGATACCTCTCTTAACACTATTCCTAACCCTGTCTACCTAATTCTCTAAAATCTGACTTTCCAATGGGTAACCTTCATTCTTCATTCCAATTAAGAATGAGGAGTATTTGGATAGTGAAGGCCTGGCATCGACACCTCGGGGGAAGTCGCCTGCCCTCCCTCTTTGACTCTTCTATCCATAGCTCTCTTTATGTCTCCTCCTTATTTATCTTTTCTAGTATCTTCACCCTGTCTATGGGTTCCTCCTGTTTTTTCATTTTTTTCTCTATTTATTCTTGGTACCCAAATGCTGCATCTATGCTTCGGGGATTTAGCCCCTGCTTATTAAACTTCACAACAATGTGTTTTCAGTAGTCAGAGGACTCAAGGCTGGGGTCAGGTTGGATGGCACAGTCCGGATACACTGTACGATATTCTTTGTAGGGGAGATATTTCCAATTTGTATCATAATTTCTAAATGTGTCTCCAGAGAGAACACATGCAGAACAAATGTCTGCAATCAACATATCGTCTTCATCCCATCTGTATCCTCCTGATCCTCTAGGTCTGTTAATGGATGCAAAATGCTCCTTATGATCAGAACCTTTGGCCTCACAGGGAACTTTACAGAAAGGACACCGCTTCCCACATCAGATCACCTTCTTCAGCAATTCATCCTCTGGCTTTAACCTAACCTTGGAGAGAACTGATTAAATACTCCAAAATTTGCCTTCTAATAGTATTTTTTTTTCTGTTTGTGAGAGAAAAGTCTTAATGTCAGCAGGAAACTGTGCAACTTCTGCATTGATTCCAAAAGCGACCATATTCAGTATATTCTTTGAAATCACCAACTCACTTTCTAACTCCTCGCAAATATTTTTTAAAAAGATGTAGAATATTGGTAGCACTCAGAACCTTCCTGTTTGTGAGAACATTGTTGATTTTGTGTACTATGAGAGATAGAATTATTACATAAAATCATTCCAGACTTAAAATATTACTATATTTATCTGAGATGTACTTCAATATCCATTTAAAAAAAAATCTCTTTCAATATTCTTTGAATTTCCCTTTTGCCAACACATCTTCCAGCACAGTAACATAGAAAACGGTTTGACTGTTAAATATGATATTGTCTGGACTATGTAGCACATCATCCACTATTTCTTTACCCAGATGTCTGTAATTATATTCAATTAAAGCCGGCTTCAGACAGGGCAAACACAAATCTCTAGCTCTGTAATGACTTTGGTCTTTTGTTTTGTATATCCTGAGAAAAGTAGAATAACATTGAGGCGTTAACCTTTCAAAGCAGACATTAGGGTCATTTTCTTCCATGAAATTCTCATGCATTTTTTTTAAATACACCAGCAACTCGGGCGAAAATGCAAAGTTTGATGTCAAGTTGAAATGCAGAGGAAAAGTTAATCTTTTTAACATCTTCTCAGCAACCAAGTGTAACAATTCCTGAGAATAAGCGTCATCGTAGTCTGACTTTACATTTACCTTGTCTGATGTGTATGCGTCACACATGTTTATCAGTGAGTCTGCCAGCTGTGATATCTGATCGTAGTGTTGGTTGATAATAAAAGGGTCTTGTTTTGATCTTAATGAAGATTTGTTAATGTGCATTTCCATTTGAGAGTGGTTTAACCCCTTAAAGGAAAGAGAGCACCCAGGGGTTTCCTGGCATCATAGCATTTTCATTTAGATGAAGTTGTTATGGTGACCAGAATGTTCCTTTAATTTGCTTAAAGGAACACTATAGTGTCAGGAATACAAACATATATTCCTGACACCATAGTTGTGAAAACGCTATTCACCCTGGCTTTATGTGATAATGGCTATGCCCCTTCCCTTTCATGACACTGTCAAAAAGGGACCAAACATGGACATCATATGACCCCCCCCCCGCCCACCCCACGAAAAAATTCCTGCGGACGCCCATGGCTGCAGTCATTAGCGGGGTGCAGTCATTAGGGAGGATAGTCCCTGCTTCTACTCGCTTCCTTGCGTCTTCCTGCCATTCTCTCTCCACGTCAGAGTTCAGCGTCTCGAGCAGCGCTCGCGTGTGTCCATTACGTTACGCACGCCATCATGTCTTTTATGTTTTCAACAAAGATGACACAAATCAAAAAATGCAAGCTCAAAAAATACAGTTGTAATAATATAACAAACTTTAATGAAATAATAAAATGCAATAATACACTGAGTTGTAATAATTCAATAAGCTGTAAAAATACACTAGCCAATGGGCAAATAATTATATAACACCATATAATTATCTTCCATTATGTCGTAGGTAGGGGTATTATACTAATCAGTGGGAGGGTGGGTAGGTTACTATATCATGATTACTTGCCATTTACAGATCTTCACTCATGTATCAGATATGTCAGCTAGCCCCGGTACCCATACAGTTTGTTTTATAGCAATATATGAACTAGAATAGTAGATAGTGTTGCCAGTAGCAACAATTAACTCCAATCGCTAACCCCTGGAAAGAAAGAGTGTAAATAATTAAAATATAATGAAGTGTGCAGTATGTAACTTAGAAGTATAACTTCACTAAATTCAATAAACAGACAGCGGTGTTTGTTACTGAGAGTTACAACTTTGTGATAATAAACTGTTAAACGCAATACAAGTTAACATACATCTACAATAGGAGTAATCCATTCTGGGGTTCCGTAGTAATCCAATACTGAGGCTGCTGAACCAATGGACAAATCATCTGCACATGATGGGAAATATTCTCAAACCTAAATATGTGGATCAAGCAGGGCTCAAACCACAGAAAAATACAAATAATGCATGAACCGGGCACACTATATATAGGGACATGATCTGATAGTCCTTAAAAAGTATATGTTTCACTTTAATATTTCATAAAATGTATCACAAATGTGCTATGTGCTGCTAGTTGACATTGAGGAGCCTGATATTACTTATTTTTTTATTTAAAATGATAGCTTTCTTGCAGACTGCTCAGTGCTTGCTCTTTAGTTATGTTTCCCCATTCCCATGGGATCTCAGCAGGTCCAGCATCATAGCGTTTTGCAAATTCCTTATTGAACTGTGTAAGAACGAACATCCAGTATTTTGAGAAGTTCATGTCTCTGTCTGGTTGAATGATCCAGTCTTGATAAATTGCACGGTAATATTTATATGGGTGACATTTTCCGTCTGTGTCGGAGTTTATAAAACTGTCATTGGAAATTACATCAATAGAACATATAGAATTGCAAAGGATATTGGATTCTGTCCACCTGTACTGGGCTAATCCCTTAGGGCGGTGAGGTGATGCAAAATGCTGGCTGTGCTGATTTCCTCCAGCCTCACACGGAGCATTACAAAATGGGCATTTCTTTCCACATCCAATTATTTTATAGAACAACTCACTTTGAGGTGTCCACGTCAGATTAGAAAGAACAGATTCTATGGAAACATTTTCGTTCTAATTTCCTCTTTTGTTTTATCAAGGAAATACTCGATGTCACTAGAAAATATTTAATTAGTTGAGCTATTTTGGAAGCCCGTTATCTTCATTGCATTCTTTGGCAGCACCAACGTCTTCTTTATCTCAGTGGAAAAGATGTCCAGTAATTCAGTCACACTGCGGCTCCTTTGGACCTTAGGATCTCTGAGAGCCACAATAATTTTTACAGCAATGGAAGAGATGACTCCTGATACAAGTTGTCAAAAACTGTAGGGCTTTCATATTTTATGTCATTTGAAATCCAAGCTTTAACATAGTTTTCATAGTGAGTAATATACTCTAAGTTGCTTTCAAACCGGTCTATTTCCAGCAGCTCTTTCAGAAGAGTGACTTTTGTTCTGTTGGAAGCAGGGCCAGATTAAGAACCCATTGGGCCTGCTGCTATCAATTATGATTGGCCTAAATACAAAATCTTATCTGTCAGGATATTTATATCAGCAGCCATTTTGTGCTAAGATAGATATTAAAAGTGTATATAGCCAGAGTCACTCAGAACAGAGCGGACTCCATTTTGGATTCAGGCTAACAAAGACAGACACAAAATTTCCTTGCTTTCTGTAATTAGCCAAACCAGGCTGAGCTTAGGAATGCTTTCTGTAAACAAAGCAATAAAGTCTCCCAGCAAGGATGGGGGATGGATTACTTAGTCCAGAGACAAGTAGATACATTATATACACTTGTGTATATATATAACCATTATACACTTATTTACTATTATATTAAATACATATAATCAGTATTATGTTAATAATATAGACCATTCATGGATAAATATTCATGAAGACATATCATATTATTTATTAAATATTAGTGGACTAGAAAATGTCTCACAGCTTCTCAGAAAGCCAGACACAAATGACCAGGTAAGACTCAGCAATTAATTTTACTTTAGAAAATTTTACAAGGTCCCATTGTAAGTAAGGGGTGAAATTGAGTTTAGAGTTTTAGAAATTACAACAGGAATTGTTGATGCGCTGTATGGAGAAAATCCAAAGAAAAGCTTTGAACTGACAGCAAATTTAAGTTATGGTAGTCATTTTAGATGAGCCAAATTACATCAAAATCATCATCAGGAAAAGTTAACTCTTTCCTGGATAGGAAAGTTTAGTGAGGCGAGAGTGCCCTCTATGGACCAAAAATCTAAATTGCGTTCTGCAGGTTGACCACACCTTCAGTATCCTATTGGTTTTACCAACTGATGACGTAGAGATCTTTCCCTTTAAAAAGTTAGGACAAAGGGAAGAGAGAGGTTAGTTTGGGCTTTCAGATTGAAATTCCAATTCAGGATGAGACACACGGAAGGACACCTGAGACAGACAGACCCTCATACAAACAGACTGAGGAGAGAGACACAGAACACTTAATTTCACTATCTCTTTGCACACACATAACCACACTTCAATTCCTGGGATTAACTAAGAGCATCTGATGAGAGCATCTACATCATAACTGGTAATTATGCTGGTTTTATTTAATCTAAAATTAATTAAAATCTATTAATAGCAGGATATATGCATGGATAAATCACGATCAGATCCCATAATTGAGGAATCTTAATTAAATAAAGAATATGTAGTTATAACACTCCATTCTGCAGGTGGAGTCAGATAATTACATAGTACTGGTATCTTACCATGTGTTAGCATACCGCTGTTTTTATCTGTGTGTTAATTTGCTCTGAAATAAGATATCTTTTTAGGCAAATTAAAATTCGGCTTATAGAATCTGTAGATTTGACTCTTTTGGATGGTTCCAGGAATTGATTAATGAGCTGGTTTGAATTTTATTTTAATTAAAAATAGCAATAGAATAGGATTTTCTATGTCTAAAAGGACTAACCAGCATTGAAAGGATTACTCAGTTGATCTAACTGTTAGCCAAGGTTTTTGTGGCTTTTCGCTGGAAGTATAGCTTTCTGCGTCTGTGAAATACCTCATTAATCTTACTAAGTGACAGTTGATGCTGTTAGCCATTGGATTGTTTTAATATTGCCATTGTATTACATACTTAAGTTATACTAAACATTCACTGATTGTTATCATGCATGCTGCCTAATATTATTATTATTTTATTTGTCACAATAAATTATATCTATTTTTATAACAAATTGGGATTTTATTTGTATGGAATACATTTCACTTACATGATAACGATCTCTAAGATCTAAGAGAATTGAAATAGTGGGCAATTCTCAACTGTATAATATTATCATCCCATAAATATCCCCACATATCAACATAAAACATTAAAACAGTCCTGCCTCCCAAGCATCGTGTATCTGGCGGAGGTGGTGCTGGAGGGTCACTCACAGGATACAGCTATAAGAAAACACATACTTTATGCTAATCATTCACTTTCATCTTTCAAGTAAATCCATACCCCCTAACTAGCTCCGTTGAAGCAGAAGGTCGGTGGCTGGGATAAAAGTGTAAGCCACTGCCATGAGTCACATAACCAGAACCGAAAAAGGGGGCATGTCTACCCAAAGAATTAGAAGGTCAATCTTGTGTAAATGCATGACAGGCTGCCTGCCAATCATGCATGCTGGCCATCAAAGGACATACAATGAGCTTGGCATACATGCGTCTGATGATGCGCTCGCTCCATGCTTTGTAAGGACTGTCCCCTAACACTTGCTGGTCCACTTGTCTCCTTACTAGCAGGCAGAAGCTCCTGTTATACAGTCTGTGAGAGAGGAAATGTGTATGTAGTGAGTGTAGAAGAAAGGGAACATGCCACAGTGTTAGAGAGACTGAAGCAACAAGAGCATTTGCATAGTGCGCAAAGTCAGCTTTACCTTAACTAATTTCATTGTCAGCCAGTCCACACTAGTTTTGTTCCCCTACATCCTTCTTAAGTTTCCAGACTTAAGCAAGAGCATGTGAAGAGTAGTAAAAAAAATAATGTAAATCAATGGGCCCCTTCCATGGGCATGGCCCTGAAGCTGCAGTTCCATCAGTCCCCATGTATATCAGGCCCTGGCTGGAAGCTGCTCTTATATTTATTGAAGTAATGAGGTTTCAGTTTATTAAGAAGCAGTTTGGGATCATTTCTGTTTACAAAATCCTCATGCATCTTCTGAAAGTGAGGGGCTGCTTTACCCAATATATGCAGTTTCAGATCCACCTCAAACAATGCCGTGGGGTGATGTTTTGTAACTTTCTTTTCCTCCAGCTTTTCATTTATCATGGTTAATAATTCCTGACAGTACATTTCATTGTAATCGTCTTTTGTTTTCACTTTATTTAGAACATATTCAGCACAATTATCTGCTAATGACTGTGCAGTTATTTTTAACTTTCTACAAGAATTGTTGAAAAATAATTCCTTGACTCTTTTTATAGAGGATCCAGTAAGATCTATGTAGCCTTTTGTTATTTCAAATTGCTTCTCTCCATAGACTTTTAGAAACCTAATATTGTGTAATTTCTGTGTGACATTGCCTGGTCTGTTTATCATCTCCCGTTTCAGTTGCTCCAGCATTTCCATATCTATTCGATGGTACATCAAACGAGACACTTTTAATTTGAATAGAATATCATTCCACAATGCATCAAACTGTAACTTCATTCCCATCTCATTCAGCACACATTGCTTCATTCTGTTATTCTCCAAATGTTCATGGAGCATTTTTTCAATTTGCTGCTGACATTTATCTTGTGTATGTAAAATCCCATTCTTTACATTTTGGATTTGGATAGTCTTTGAACATTTTTTTGATGCTATATCTCCAAGATCTTTCCTAAGACTTTTCACGCGATTTAGAAAATCTTCCCTGTTTCTTTCTAGCAGAAGCACACTGGCACAGCTACTCTTAAAGAACTCTGATAATTCTTGGGTCATGTTTACCTCCTCTTGGTCTAGCAGGGTTTTTAGATAGTTTTCTTCAAAATCTGATAATGTATAAAGATTGTCATCAATGTTTCTTTTAATGATATTGTCATATTTAGATAATTCAGTATGAACCTTCTGGCGGAAATTCCATTCCAACTCTGAGTATTTCATAAACAGTTGATTATAGGCTTCTACCTCTAGAATGTTCTGGAAACTAAAAATTAAGGTTTCATGTTTCACTGTATTCCACAAACTCTTCATCCGCTCAATAAATGTATCAATGTTTTGTGGCTCAGGAAATTGTCTTTCTTTTATGAATCTAAATAAATGTTTTTTTAATTTAAAGACATTTTCACTGTATCCTTGATTTATTGAGGCCATGGGTGGGACCCCATGCCATAATCCAGGAATGTACCAGGTGTACCTTTCAGGATCATAATCAATGATATCTGAAAATTCCATGGCTTTGTCTCTTCTCTCCATCTCAACTGCTGCTTTTGTCATTTCATTTAGTTCTTTCAAAAGTTTTGCTCTGCCAACCTCGTTGTCATATGTTGTCACATGACTTACATTCTGATGTACGAAGTGACAGTTTCGTTTATTTCTATCTTCATTCATCCTTAGGAAAGCACGAACCACAATCTGCAGAATATCTTTCATTTCTGCCATGTTTTCCATGGATGTATTAATTATAGTGATATCACTCAGCCCAAACACAAGCATTGCCAGCTCATTGTCATGTTCATAACTGTTCTCCAAAGAAGACAATTCAGGAGCTTTCAGACCTTCAGTATCAATAGCCAGAATAAAGTCACAGTCCAACTCCTCCCGGACATTTTCTTTCACTTTTACAAGTGCAATGAAAGCCCCTCGTGTACATCGTCCACTGCCCACTGGAAACTGCAAACCAAACATGGTGTTCAGTAGGGTGGATTTCCCCGTACTCTGAACTCCCAGCACACTGATCACTATCATTCTGCATTGTCCTCCAGTCTTGGTGTCCAGCTCTGTCAGGACATCAGTTATCCACTGCAGGGGGATGTTGGAGGCATCTCCATCAATCAGCTCCAACAGGAACCCCTCCAGCAGGAGATCAGCAGCTATTCCTGGGAGATGACTGTGTTGTCTTTGGTTTGGACTGATTTGTTTCTGTTTAATCATAGAACATTCAGCTTCATAGAACTGCCCCATCTCACGCAGGAAGTGTTCTATACCCAAAGAACTGTCTGAAATATTTTGGCAAAGTTGTTCCAGCTGAATTTTTTTTGGTGTCTTAATGCCATTACTTTTATTCTTGGGTTGCAAAAATGCATAGTTTTGAGTAAATGAGTCAAGATAAAATCTCATCCATTTCATGAAGTAAACTTTCTCTGTATATGTGAATTTTGTTATTGATTGGATAAAGGTCTTAATGCCATCTGGCATTGAATTCTGATATTGGGTCCTTGTTAATTCAGAGCATTTGTCCGTGAGGTTATTTTTGTAACCGTCGCTGGCAGATGTCCCTTGATTTTTCAATCTGCATATCTCTTTTTGTACTTTAGATATCTCCTTCCACAGATCACCCTGCAGTTGCATAGTTTTCTTCTTGTATTGCACCACATCCTTTATCTTACTAATGATTGACAAGGCATGCTTCCTGGCATTCTGACATTCCATCAAGCTCTCATCTAATTTTATTCTATGTTCACTGGCTAAGAATGCCATGTTCTCTAGGCTGAGTGTTTTTCCTCTGTCCTCTATGAAGTCTGCAATGATTAACCTAATATCACTTACTAAGTTCATGACATGTTTATCCCAGTTCTTAACCAGGGATATTTTCAGTGTTTCATTCAATTGTTTTAGAACTTTTGCTGTTTCCTCTGCATTCTGTTCATCGTAATTTGGACTAAGAATAAAATAATAATTTGTGTCTGTGTCTCTGAACTGGGAAAACAGTCTGTAATCCTTTTCAGCAAAACTCTCAATAAATATAAAGACAGCGGTAGATATCTGTGTTAGAAAGGTGAATTGCCTCCAATTAGATTTCAGGTCACCACGTAAATTGGTGACAGCAAAGGGTTTTGGGAAGATGTCATGATTTCCTTGGCCTCCAGGGAAGAACCAGGATATCTCCACTAACCCATCAGAGACTTTTCGAGGGTAATTCCCACAATCCATGTCTTGATTCACAAAAAAATTGTAGTTTGTGTGATCTGGACTTAGCACATGATTCAGGAATTTGGATTTGGAAAAGGTGCATTTTCCAAGTCTCATAAAAGAGAAAGTTGGCATGTGAATATTTACTAATCTGTCTCCCATAGAACTCTTGCTGTCGTCACAGGAGCGAGGTGTCCATTTCTTCACAATGTCTCTCATTGTCCAGAGCATGAAGGTGCAGTTAGAGCCATTCCCAGCAGGGAGCAACAGAGGGACAGCAAACTGGCACATGGACATCTTGGTTATAATTTCCTGTTGTAAGAAATGGTCTGAACAATTCAGGAGAACACACAGGACATCCAGGGGGTGGACGGAATCAGACAAGTCTGGTTTTAAAAAATCAGTAAAACTCTGATACTGATACCTATGTTGACTTCTCTTTCCTCCTCTTTGTGCAGATTGTTTAAGTTTAGTATTTCTTGCGTTCACATTCAGAGCCATTACATTCTGCAGAAAATACCAGGGAATGTTCTCTACTGTCCGTAATTCAATGTCATTCATGGATTCCTGCCCGATATTCAGAACATCCTGTAGAGTGAGCTTTTTTCGTCTGTAATCTTCCATTTTTAACTTTGATACAAGTTGAGCAAATTCAGGGCTTTCTCCTACAGAATAAAATGACATAGAAATATTTACCAGCTTTAATGTACATTTGTAATGACAATATACTTTGGGTAGCTCATAGGGAACTAAAAATCTTACTCACAGAATACTGATTTTAATTTAGCTACTATTTATACAGCACTTTAATAGATATACTAATAAGTAATCATATTTTATATTGTGTACATTATCCCACATTCAACAGTAATCTCAAAGGATTAAGGCTGAATTTACATCACAAGCACCATCTTCTATATTCTCACCAACACCCTGATCCCCCGTCCCCCCCAAAAAACCACAAAACACCTTGACAGAAAAACGTGATAGTGGCACCCGTATAGGCACCTACCCTGGTACCCATATAGGCACCTACCCTGGCTCTTGGTAATCCACTCATGTAAAGGATCCAGTAATAAATGCCAGTAATAAATAGTTACGAGCCATTTCTAATAATAGATATATCTACTCTATTATCCTGCCATCCTAATATTAAAGCCTCTCTTGTTCCCAATCTTACCATCTGCCTCTCTGCTAAATTCTCTTGAGCGTTTCTTCTTTATTTTTAAATTATCTTCACATTTTCACAGAAAGAGATCTTCCTTTATTCCACTTCTATCCTGAAACCCATTTTTTTATTATTGAACATATCACCATGTCTGTAACCAGATGAGTCAAGGCTCGATGATATGTATTAAATAATATTTTTATATCTCCCCAATGATGTGACTTTGTTTGTATCCCATCTGTATGTTTATAGGTATCTCTCACCTCTTCATTTATATTCTCTATTACATTCCCAACAGGGCTACCAAATGTAGTCAACCGACAGAAATTCAAGGGGATCTCTCACATCCCCAATTTTAAAATAATGTTTATGTATCCCTGTGTTTAGCAAATATGTATTTACAAGGATTGAAAAAGCAAAAATAAATGTAGAAACAGACACTTTACGCTGTGATAAAGATTATTAGAAGCAGTTTTTGATTACTTGCTTCCACTTTATACAATAGTATACATTTCTGAGGTGTTATATTGTCAAAATATAAAATATTATTATTATTATTATTTATCATTAGAATCATTATTATTATTATGATGATTATTATTATTACTACTATTATTATTAATATTATTATTATTATTTATTATTAGAATAATTATTACTATTATTATTATTATTATTATTTATCATTAGAATCATTATCATTATTATTCATTATTATGATGATGATTATTATTACTATCATTATTATTATTAATATTATTATTATTTATCGTTAGAATTCTTATTTATTATTATTATTAATATTATTATTATTATTATTATTTATTATTAGAATTATTATTACTACTACTACTACTACTACTACTATTATTATTATTATTATTTATCATTAGAATTATTATTATTATTATTACTATTATTATTATTATTTATTATTATTAATATTATTATTTATTATTAGAATTATTACTATTATTATTATTATTTATCATTAGAATTATTATTATTATTATTATTATTATTGACAAGTACTACTTGGATGCTTGATGTCCAAAGTGTAATCATTTAGAATTTGTGACACTTATGTAATGATGTTTGCACAGTATAAAGGAAACAGGAAATGATGTAAGATTCCTTTCTCTCCACTCTCTTTTCTTTAGCATTGATACTTATTTCTATACTTTACTTCCTCTTGATCCTTGAAAACAAATCCGCTTACAGGCATTCATATAGTTCTTTCTCTATACAGCCATAAAGTGGTCAAAAAGTAGATCTCAACTATCCTACAAATCTGATGATGCTTTGTCAGCCGTAGATCTACCATTTGCCCATCCTTGCATGGTTGTACGTGTGTGATTGTAGGTGTGCTTTTGTGTGGCGTGTGCATATGTGAATGTTTGTGTATTTGTGTATAAAGCTAATGGTAGAATGCAGAAATGTATTTATGTGTAGTGTTGGTGTTTGAATGCTGGCTTTTATTTTTTGTAGCAGGTATGTGCTCACACCCGCCCTCCCCCCAACAGATGCACATTGACACACAAAGATAGAGACAGACACCCATGGACATATACAGTGACACATACACACAGATGCATATGTACACACACAACTGCACAGATGTACATATCCACAAACACTGACCCATACACACACAACACACACATATACGCTTGACTCACATTCACTCTGAACCGTGCTACTCTAATGAAGTCTGTATATTGAATGTATCCTCTGTGGGCCCAGACATCTAGTTTCTTCATTTGATATGCTTCAGGGGATTGGTAGTCTCCCTGCTTCATGAGGCACCATGGTGTGGTCCTTTTACAAGGTGTGTGCAATTCCTGTTTTGAATTTTGGATTCACCCTCAGTCAGAGTCCAGCTCTCCTCTTGCTATGTTCACTATCTCACCCCAGGTCCTGGTGAGTCTGCCTGCCTCTATTTTGGTGCCAGTAGTTCCGGCACTATTTTGGTTAGACTAGAAAGGGCCCAATGTAATGTCAGTAATTCCATGCCTTTTTCTCTCTCTTTTCGCTCTCCATCCACATCCTTAAAAGCTTACCAACAAGATATCATACTCATACCTACTACTCTTGTGTTCTGATATCTTTTTCCCTCCTGACTATGGCAACATCTACTTCCTTCCTATGTATTCCATATATACATTTCAAACATACCTTCGGTTGCTTCCCTCTTCCCAGCCATGTCCATACCTGACTCCCTCCCAATCCATTGAGTATACCCTCTCACACTCTGTCTCTGTCATGACCCTACCTACCTGGTTGCTTGTGTATGGAAATGCTGCTTGTGTGGGAAGCTGCTTGTTTTTGGGGTGAGGCTATTTGTGGAGTTGCTTCTATGAGGAATATTGTTAGTAGGCATCTGTGTGAGCAGAGAGAGTGGTAGGGGTTGTTTGTACTGTATGTGTGGACAATGATGTGTATACAGTGTGATGGGGATGTGCAGTATATCAAGAGGGGGATCTTTGGAGATTGTGTGTGTCGATAAGTGATTAGTAGCAGTTTGAAGTGTGTGTTGATAAAATCTGCGAGCTTGTTGTGCCTGGGTTGGGTTTGTTGTGTAAGTGTATATTGATAGTGGATGTTTGGAGTTCAGGTATGGGTAGGAACTAAAAGTAAAAAAAAAAAAATATTTCATCCAACTGCTTGCTATGTTGGGCCTGAGAGGGGATGTGATAATTCTTGGTGGTTCAGTGGTTGGGGCATTTGGTATGCAGGCCACATATATAGGACCCTCTGGCTGGAATTGCTGAATATATCAGAGCATTGTTGTGGTGATCTGTGGCAACACAGTAAGTAGCCAGAATCTGAGGTGGACAGTGACTTCTTCCAGACATTTTGATTATATCATGCACAATACCCTAATGTGCCTGTGAGCATGAGTTGTTTAGCTATGTAATTTGTTTTGTTTAAAAATATAATGTAAATATGTATATTTAAGTGCAAGCAAACTGTATAACAGCAAAGTTAAAATACAATATAGGGCGCAACAATCACAAAGTGAGATGTAGATATAATTACCATAATGGAGAGGAGCATATAGAAATCACATGTAAAAGAGAAACAAACAAAAAAGCATAGTGCGAACTTTAATAAACACAAAATGTAAATGTGAAAGGAATACTCACAAAGTTAATGGTTCAATTGAAGTGAATCAATATATGAAAAAGCGCTTTTTAGCCTCAATTGGGCTTAGTGCTCTGGAACATCAGGCCGCAGTAGATGCCTTTATGTACCAGCAGGGCTTCCTCCACAGACTGCCAGCGACTATGAATGAGGGAGTCAGTTCTTTAAATGTTGCGGCGCTGAAGTCCTTTCGGGGGTATGGATTTGCTCAATGCTTTTTGTCTTTCTTCAGACTTCCTCAGGAGCTTGTTCTTTCTTCGGTATCCGTTTAAATATGCTGGACAGCGTCCCTTCACTATGTCTGCTCATGTGCGGCGACGCAATGGCGTGACGTCATTATGCCCCGTCATCGTGTACCGCACATTTGCGTTTTACCTTGGAACACAAACTTTACTGCTATAATGAAAAACGGACAACCCCGGACTTACGCATAGAAGCTGGAGTCTCTTGCCGATTGCTATAAAACAATGTATCCACTTATCTAACTTGTGTTAAATCATCTCAATACGATATATCCAATCCCAAACTGTTAGAGAGGATAAATAAATAATAATAAATGTGCATGCATGCTAAAATAGATATGTGGATCAAACATAAGCAGGAATACAATTAATATATAAACACTCTTATAAAGTACACAGGGTATGTTAACAAAATTACAATCAGTTCTGATATATTCCATAAATGGGTGGTCGGGGTGATAGATCATAACTAATTGATCAAATATCTAAAAGATAACATTAAATTAAAAAAAAAGTTGTGCAAAAGTATGAATTTAATGGCGTTATATACTGTTATTGACCATATGAAGGGCATCCAAGCAGTAAAAGAAGTGTTAAATGAAGACCATCACATTCCTACTTTTCCACAACTTTTTTTGGTTTTATGGTAATTACTACCTGCAAACATGTGATGGGCACCAGGTTCTATGGAAGCGTTACATAGACGGCGTCCTGATAATTTGGGAAGGCCCCAGATGATCTTTTGAATTATAGCAATTCAAACACCTATAATTTGAAATTCATTGCAGATATTCAAGAAACAGAAATTAATTTTCTTGATTTGACTTTTTTTATTAAAAATGGGCAGATACAAAATAAAACATTTTTTAAAGCCCACTGATGGCAATAGCTTTATGGAGTTTTTCAGCTGTCATCACCCAAACTGGTTTACACACTTTCCTAAAGGTCAACAGATGTGGCTATATAGAAATTGTAGTGAAGCAAGTGAATTTAAAAATCAAGTACAAATTCTCAATGAAAAATTTAAGAATAGACATTACCCAATAGATCTTGTGGAAGGATTCCAAAACAAGTGGAAAGGTGTAACAGGAAAAACTTTTTCAAAAGAAAAGAAATTAAACCAGGGAACAAAGATTTGAATACAGCTTTTATTACGAAATATAATAGTAATGCATGGTATTTTATCTCAAATTCCTTAGGTTTCATTACTCTTCTTCGAAATTATTAATTGTCTTCATTTTCTTTCCCAACATTTTTTAGCATTTTTTAGGATGTTTGACAGTGTTCTACCCTATTCTGTACTGTATTTAACCTCTTAAAGACTGAACCAAATGTACACGTTGTGATCAAAACAAAACGTAAACAAAACCTGGCATTTGACTATATGTCTGTCCAATAGTGATGTACCGAACGGTTCGCTGGCGAACGGTTCCTGGCGAACATAGCATGTTCGCGTTCGCCACGGCGGGCGAACATATGCGCGGTTCGACCCGCCCCCTATTCGTCATCATTGAGTAAACTTTGACCCTGTACCTCACAGTCAACGAGACACATTCAGCCAATTAGCAGCACACCCTCCCTAGCAGACCCTCCCACCTACTGGAAGGCATCCATTTTAGATTCATTCTCAAGCTGCATGCTTAGTAAGAGGAGGGAAAGAGTAGCTGCTGTTCATTAGATAGGGAAAAGCATAGCTAGGTTAGGGTTAGGGTATGCTTTTTTTTTATTTTTTTTTCTATGTAATATAATTGCACTTAGTTGTCTGCCACTGCTGCCAGCTTCTGTCTCAGGTTCACAGTGCATACTGTGCCCATTTCCCCAGTCAGTGCCACCACTTATATCTGGTGTCACAATAGCTTGGATTTAAAACAAAAACCTTTTTTCACTGTTATAGATTGAATAGCAGTCAGTTGTCTGCCACTGCTGCCAGCTTCTGTGTCAGGCACACAGTGCATACTGTGCCCATTTCCCCAGTCAGTGCCACCAATTACATCTGGTGTCACAATAGCTTGGATTTAAAAACAAAAAACTTTTTCACTGTT